TTATGTGATATGTATGTGTTATGTATGTTATGTACGATAAGGACCGGAAGGTCAAGATGATATGGACCGGCAGGTCAAGTGGTTACGGACCGGAAGGTCGATACGGGTAGGACCGGAAGGTCTACCGGGATTCGGGACGGAAGTCCCCTGAGACACATGGATCGGAAGATCCTACAGAGTTATGGCCTGGAAAGGCGTATGTGTTGTATGTGGTATCTTGGGGAACTCACTAAGCATTTATGCTTACAGTTGTTATATTATGTGTTTCAGGTCCTAGTGATGATCGCGGGAAGGCACCGACATGATCCGTACACACTTATAGAGTTTATGTTATTGAGATTCCAGGACATGTTTTATTATGACACAGTGGATACATTATGTTTTGTGATTATCGTGTGATTGAAAGTATGATTTAAAAATGAAAAATTGTTTTGGTAATTTACGTTGTTACACAAGCTCTTTGATTAACCCTAACCTTACTAACCTAATCTAAACACGCTCTTAGAATTAGATTGAAAGATTGCATTAAACTTTATGTGAATGTTCCCAATAACACCCAATACTCCTCACAAGCTCGGGAGCATAAGAGTGTGTGAATAAGATTTACACTAAATTCATTCAATGTAAATCAGTTTAGTGCTTGTTACTTGTTCAATTTCACAAAACAATTATGGATTTTGTAAAAGAGATAACTTGAATGACCTAACCCTAATTCAAATGGCCAATAAGAATCACAATTAGAATCAAACATTCGATTAAAGCTAAATCAAATTCATTAGATAGAAATTAAGAACAAACATCAAGTCATATGATTGAAGTCACTACCAAGAAGCCAAAACATGAAATTGGAGAAACTAGGGTTCTAGCCACACATGGCTAGAACAAGATCACAAGAATAAAAGATGGAAATAATGTGCAATTACAACTTACAAATAAGAGAAATAATGTTCCCAAATGATAAATGATCAATCCCTTGCAATAACCTTCGAAATCCCCTCTCAAAATGTGCTCTGATATGTTCTGTGTATCTCAAAATGGCCCTCAACCCGTAATATGAAAGATAGGAAAAACTGTCAAAAGTTGGTTTTTGGGTCGAACACGGCCCGTGTTAAAATAGGCTAAACTGACACGGCCCGTGTTCAGCAGCCAACACGACCCATGTTGATTTGCACTAAACTGACACGTCCCGTGTTCAGCATGGTCAACAGCTCCCATTTTTGTCAACACGGCCCATGTTGATTTTGCAGTGTAAATCCAACACGGCTCGTGTACCCCTCTGACTCCGAATCCAAACTTGATTTTTCCAACTTTTTCGTTCTTCGCCCGATCATCCCGAAATCTTCACCAATGCTTCCCGGCACCTCCCAAAGTGCATTCCAAGCTCCGGTTTACCTGAAAAAGACATGAAAGTGTGCAAATAAGGTTGTTCTAGAGACTAACATGAATATAATAAAATGCAAGAAAAAGAAAGAACAATTATGCTAAATAGATGCATGAAATGGGACTAAAAGGTGTGCAAAAAGGTGCACAAATTGCACCTAACAGTGGGCTTAAATTTTTTTTGAACTATTTAGGCTAGTTTGTATTATGGACCATTTAGAAATAACCTGAAACTTTTTAGGGTAGCCCAATTTTTTTTCCGATATAAAATTGCAACATAAAACGAAATTTTCGGAAAAAATTGACACTATTAAATTTTTTTTGTGAGGTATCTCGGGATACCCCAAGATCTATTGTGGATCCGCCAATGGTTGGGTGTGGCCTTAGCCACGGGATGTCACACGTTCAACATTCAAAAAGAATTACACATTTAATGTATTTCACGATTTCTTTTCAAATAAAACCTTATAAATACTCTTTTAATCAATCATATTTTCATATAAATATTTTACTCTTTTACTCTCATAAACATTGCAAACTTTATAATAAATTTTAATGTTTATAATGCCTTTTAAGAAAATTTATCATAACTATTTTTTATTATTTTTATTTTAGATTAATATTACTTTTATTAAAGAATTAAAAATTGTGAGTGACATGGTAATGTAGAGAGCGATGAGTAACTTTTTAAGTAAGGGGTTCTTTTGGTAGTAATTGATAAAGTTAGATCTAAGTATTTGATTTAGATACAACCTTTTATCCAAATTAATAAGAGGCATACTAAAGATTATATGTCCGAATTAGGTTATTTTTATTGTAGTATCAAACAGTCTGATGACTGTTTGATATGTCTCTTACTAGGTTTGATAATAAAAGATTGTATTTGACTCAGGCAGATTCAAACTATTTGATAACATAATTAGAAGCATTTGATTCGATCATAGAACATCTATTTTTTTTTTACTGGGTCTGATAAAAAACTTAGTTTGACTCAATCAGTGTTTAACCCAGTCAGATATAACTTAATCAACCGCTATCAAACAACTATTAAATCTGACCAAATGAGGTCTATCCTCTTACTAGACAAAGTACGATGAATATCAAATAACCATAAATGATAAAGAAAAATGATATGACATCAGAGTAGGGGTGTTGATCGGGTAAATTTTTCGGGTTTCGGATAATTCGGACCGGATAATTCAGGTTTTTCATGTTAAAAAAATACCTATTGCCCGACCCGAATTTAATTTAGGTAATTTGGGTAGTATGTCGGGTTTGGGTAATTCGGGTATTACCCGAAAATAAATGTAATGAAGTAAATATGGCGTGCTCTATTAATATTATTTATATAAACAAACAAGGCATAAACGAAGTTACTCAAACTTTGAACATTGAGATTTTTTAGTCAATAATACTTGAGATATCAAGTAATTTTTTAACAGCTTAATCTAATCGATAACAAGAGGTTAAAAAAACAAATACTTAAAGATTTTAGTTTAAAATTTGAATCTCATGATAGAATTAAAAAAGAGTTTAATATATAGACTAGATATATTACTGATTGTTTTAGATGGAAAATTTGCAAATTAAAACACTAGAATAAAGCAAAAAAATATCGGGAATGAGGGTAAAGTCGTAAACAACATATGGATAAGTGTGGATATTACCCAACAAGTCCTTTACTTTTTAAATAATTCAGGTATTTCGGGTATACTCGAAACCCTATACATATATCCTATATACGGTCTGGAAAAAAAATCGAGTAACCCGAATACCCGAAAATATATACCTGATACTCGAGTTACTCGCCCCAATTTACCCAAATTGTAAATGAGTCGGACAGATAATTCGGGTTTCGGTTATTTTCGATAGGCTATATCAGAAGATAGCAATTTTAATATGAGATGTGAAAAGTAACCTAATACAATTAAAATGTTGTCATCAAAGCCACGTGGAATAACTAGTGATTTAAAGAGGCCCTGATTTAAAGGTACACTTTATGATGGGGCAGTATAAGGTGGGCCCTAGCTCTCGTAAATATGAAGAGGTGAGATTTGTAACAACTCCTAATTCAAGGTAAAAAACATTTTAGTAACCTCAATTGATCCAAAAAAAAAGTTATGGCATTCCAATTAATTTTGTATATCAACAACATTTGTCCACAAGTACACTTGTCCAACTATCAATTTACAAAATTGAAATGTGGCAAGAGGCTTTTGTATATTTCAACGTGATTTGGTAAGCATTAAAAAATTAGAAGCATCCTCATATCAAACCATGTTCCCTCACAATCTTGAAATGGTATTAAACAATATTCTTCGTTTCACAATCACAAGGTGAGAAGGGAATACATATGATGTTAGGCGAATTAAACACATTTCGATAGTGATAAGAAGGGAGATGAATCATAAATGTGACTCTAAATTGAATTTAGTATGAAGTGAGAAAAAAATGCACTCATAAATAAATAGATCAAATAAATATGTTTGGTTAAAAAGGTGAAGTTATTCTATTGATATATTTGTTAAATAATTTAAACACATAAATGAATAATAGACAATATATATTTAAAAAAAAAAAAAAAGAGTATTAATTTCTGAAAATAGGAAGTACTAGTTTTAAATGTTAAAAATAAACATTGAAAAATAGAACACGATATTCAGATGGAAGACCATAGTCAAGTGTAACAAGCGACTTGTGGGTCCGCATCAGTCATTATGGTTGACCTATGTCATAGAATAGTTAGATCTCATCCGTTGATTTGGCACTGCATATAAATCCAACGGTTGAATATATACGTAGCTTAATTTCACTGAATATGCCACGTGTACTATCCATTCTCTTAACTATAGTTGAATCCTGTAACTCGATACACGAGTTAACTCACCATCTCAAACCCTATATATATCCCCCCCGTTTCACTATCTGCACACTGCACTATATCATTCCCAATACACACACATCACTGATATATACATCTCTCTAGGACACTAGAACAATTACACTATCTGCTCTGCGATTTTGATTCCTGTTTTTTTATGATATCTAATTCATAACAAAGAACCCTAACTCTCTATTGAAGTTTTTGTTATGAGCGTTGTGATTGCATTGGTGAAATTTGCAGAAAATACAGTTGTTCTAGAATTGATAAAATGGCGGAAGTGACGGCGAAGCGATTCAGTGCGGGTTACGCACTGTTACAGAAGAAACAGCGCAGCTTCGTTCAGTGTTCTTTGTTGAATTCGGCAAAAGAGCGTGGTATTGATCTCATTAGGATCGACACCGACAAGCCGCTAATTGATCAAGGCCCTTTTGATTGTGTGCTTCACAAGTTGAACACTGAAGACTGGCGGAAACAGCTAAAGGAGTACTCCGTTCGGAACCCTAGCGCTTACATAATCGATTCTCCTGACGCAATCCAGCGGTTACACAACCGGATTTCCATGCTCGAAGTGGTTTCGGAGATTGAGGCGGCGGAGGTGAAAGACGGTGAGTCGGCTTCCTTTGGGACACCTAAGCAGACGGTGATATACGAATCGGAGAAGCTGAAAGACACGACGTGTTGGGGCGAGGAATTGAAGTTCCCGGTGATTGCGAAACCCTTGGTAGCGGACGGAAGTATGAAATCGCATAAAATGTCTTTGGTTTTCAGTAGGGAGGGTTTGGATAAACTGAAACCCCCTACTGTATTGCAGGAGTTCGTGAACCACGGCGGGGTGATCTTCAAAGTGTATGTGGTCGGAGAGTATGTCCAATGCGTGAAGCGGAAGTCGTTGGCGGACATTACTGAAGAAAAATTGGGGAGTTTACATGGTTCTTTACCATTTTGTCAGGTTTCTAACATGACTTCGCATCCAAAGAATGACGATATATACTACAAGATTTTGGAAGACGCAGAGATGCCTCCGATGAGTCTGATAACTAATATCGCCCGTGGGCTGCGTAAGGCAATGAAATTGCATCTTTTCAACTTTGATGTGATCAGGGATACCAGAATTGGAAACAGGTACCTTGTTGTAGACATCAACTATTTTCCTGGCTATGCCAAGATGCCTGGTTATGAATCCGTCTTGACTGATTTCTTGTGGGATGTTTTGACCAAAGAAGAGGCTAGGTCTTTCAATAACAAGAAAGAAACAACCAAATTGGTTGAAAAAATCGATTTTTGTGGTGACCAAAAAGGGTCTCTTCCTGTTCTTTCTGTTGAAAAGGATGAACAGGGCCCTTTTCAGGTCTGATAATGCATCAACACTCATCGCTGATCTTGAGTTTAGGTTTCTTCACAGTTTACATGGTGTTCCTTGTTGATGATGTACATATCATCCTTTACTTTGGAAAGAAAGGTACTTTTTTTTTTTTTTCTTCCAATACTTGGAAATTGTATGGAGGTTAGGTTGCTTTGCTTTATAAGGCATATTGTACTCCATAGCTTAGAAAACATTACAGTGTTTGTGCCTTGTAAAGCTTTGGTGGATGAATCTTTTGTTTTTTGATGATGATATTTGTTCTTTTCCAGTTGCTGCAGTATATATATCGTGTCTTTTCAATTTATTTAGTGAAAATGGTAATGCAGTAGCACATGATTTGTTACTAAAGCTACATATTTCATCTTTAAGACGATGATCCTAAAGTCTCATTCAATGTGTTGTATATTTGTTATGGTATCATGACTTCAAAATGAAGTGTTTGTAGAACTTAATACTTTGAACAAGGTTTACATTTGGTTATGTGATTTATGTGTGTTCTTAAGTTGATACAAATTGGTCAACGTTGACCTATTCAAGGCATTTGCTAAAACATAAACGGACATGGATTCTGCTACTAATTCAGCATTGCAAGTCTTCATATTGATGTGGAAATATATGGCTATTTTTTTACTTTAATACAGAAAGTTATTGTTTGATAATCTATTTTTCCATATTATAATGTGACACATTCAATGCAGTAAATCATATTCCTTTTCTGCTTATTTTTGGCCCTACTTTTCTTTACTACAGATTTTGTGTTTGGCTGGTAGCAAAACGCGTGTCAAGTTGTCGCCTTTCGCCTCAAAGTGAAAGATGGGTAAGGTAAGGTCAATATATTTGTGATAAAAATCTTGATTTTTGGAGGTTTTGTGAGTTCAATTTTTTTGCTTAAATTTCTGGTTTTAGGATAAATTTTGATCCGATACAACTTTCAGCAAGAAGCATCAAATGCTCATGCTGCAGAACACAAATATTCAGATGCTACAACCATTACTCTATGGTATGACATGTTTCTTTTTTGGGATACTTCTAAATGTAAAGTTAATACAAGCTATATGTAAGAATCATTTTAGTTTGCAAACATAATTAGGTGAGGACAATGAGGAAGTTTCATATAAATTTATTTAAATTCACTATGTAAAAAGGCAATCTTGATGTCCATTTGAAGTAAAGGCCATCATGAGTTAAGAGTCAACAAGGGCTAATAACACAAATGAAGGTACAAAGATTAGAATAAGTTGATTGCGACCAATTAATCGAGTAAAAGGAGATATCTTGTTCAATGATGGAGAAGGGGAGTCTCTTAATGAGGTGCATTGATATAGAAAGAGCTTTAAACCAAAACCTAGCATGGATAAACGGAATCTAAGAGAAGCGAATAGACATCAAGGTGACAGTTTTTATTCTTTCAACTACCCGTTTTTTAAGGTGTTGAAGGACAAAATCGTTGAGAAATTAGGCCATTTTCTTGTAGGAATTTTTGAAAAATATGAGATGTATTCTCCACTAGTGTTTGATCGAAGAATCAAGTAGTAAATTGGGTTTAAACATATGCATGGAAAAAATTGAAAATACTTTATCTTTACTACGCATGAACAAAGTATTTGTAATTAGATATGATCAGGGGCGTAGCTACACTGTGTGAAGGTGGGTCCTAGGACCTACCTTTTTTCCTTTTTAATACAACAATTCTATATAAAAAAACATAAGGAACTACCTTATTTTTGCCAAAAGACCTGCATTTTCATATTTTTTTTTTCATTTCATTTATATAAGGTACCACGTTGATTTTGGTTCTAGATTCGTCACTGGATATGATGAAAGCGAGATTCAAGGAGAAGAAGACGACCAACTTTAGGCCCCCTTGCAAATCATCTTTACCAACTGTTGCGCAATACAACCAAGTTTAGAAAATTCCACTTTGCAATCAACTTTATGGAGTTGCAGTGTTGTGCAACTCGTCCTGATAATCGGTCAATGACTAAGATGAGTTATCAAAATCGAACTAAACGTTCAAGATTGATCAAACTTGGGCAACTTGAACAGAAGTACGACCTTCTAGAGGTAAAGTGACAAAAAATTTGTATATTAAGCCTAAGATTCATGAAGCAATAATAAAAGTTGGAGGTAGATAAACAATGCAATGTAGCAAAATAATAATGTAAATTAGTATAAAACAAAAATAATAGAATAAAGACTCATGCAACCAGTGGCGGATTCAGACCAAAAGTAAACTGAGATCCATTTTATAATTTAGAGTTGATAACATCTTTATTTGTAACCTTAGAATTTTTTTCTCTTTTAACCATGCAAATTACCCGATCTATTTTCATTTCAAAACTAACAAAACTAATAAATTTGTTGGCAGTTTTCACTATTAAATATCTAATATGTTGGCTTTTCCATTCCAATAGCTCATAAAACTAAAGAAAAAAATTCAATCAAACTCAGAAATAAACATTACTAACTGGGTGCATCAACCCCACTCCATGAACACTAGCTCCGCCACTAATGCAACCAATGATTCTATCATTTTTGTTGCTTGTTTCTCTTATAATTTGTCTCGATGTTTATATGTTAGATCCTGCTATGTTTAACAAATGAGAAATCAACTCAATCGGGAAGACACACAAGCATTAACCATAACATGTAAGGAAAACAATGTATAAATTATGTAGATTTTACTACATTCATAATCATCGACTATAAGTCATTAAATGCACCTCTTGTGTTACTAGGTCCATCATAACCTTTTACTCAAACCCTATGGTGTGTGGTATACAATTGATGCATAAATGGTCGTCTTAAATGACAATTTTGGAGGGTCATCGACATGTTTTATAACATTAAACATCTCCACAACAACCCCTAGACTATTGACAAACCACAAAACCAATGTCATTTTCTCTTTAAAAGACACGTCATGGGACTCGTGTATAAAAATTAAAAAGAACTCATCTCTAATATCTTTCATAGTAACTTCAATAGTTTTCTTTGTTGTAACATATACAATGTCATTTTGAATAGAACTACATTTCATTTGTAAATTACTTTATCTCTTAGTTACCGAGGGATATAATTTGTGAAGAAGTTGAAAATTTAAAAATAAATCCAAAACTAATTAGTAGATGGTTTCAAACATTAAAAAAAAGGAATGTAACGCCCTTACTTAAGAAATTGATTCATTCACATAAAAAATATGTTTTATTTACTTGTATACCAGTGCAAATGTGTTGTGTTGTACCTTATGTGCAACTCGTCCCGATAATCGGTACACGACTAAGATGAGTTATCAAAATCGAACTAAACATTCAAAATTGATCAAACTTGGGCAACTTGATCAGAAGTACGATCTTCTAGAGGTAAAGTGACAAAAAAAAATTGTATATTAAGCCCAAGATTCATGAACCAATAATAGGTAGATAAACAATGCAATGTAGCAAAAAAATGTGAATTAGTATAAAACAAACATAATAGAATAAAGACTCATGCAACCAGTGGCAGATTCAGACCAAAAGTAAAATGAGATCCATTTTATAATTTAGATTTAATAACATCTTTATTTGTAACCTTAGAAATTTTTTCTCTTTTAACCATGCAAATTACCCGATCTATTTTCATTTCAAAACTAATAAATTTGTTGGCAGTTTTCATTATTAAATATCTAAGGCTTTTCCATTCCAATAGCTCATATAACTAAGGGAAAAAATTCAATCAAACTCAGAAATAAACATTATTAACTGGGTACCTATTAATATCTAGAGAGTTATTAACTTATAAAATTATTTATATATGTATAAATATGTTGGGAACTACAACCAAGTGGGGTGCATCGACCCCACTCCATACACACTAGCTCCGCCACTGATGCAACCAATGATTCTATCATTTTTGTTGTTTGTTTCTCTTATACTTTGTCACGATGTTTATATGTTAGATCTTGTTATGTTTAACAAACGAGAAATCAACTCAATTGGGAAGAAACATAAGCGTTAACCGTAACATGTAAAGAAAACAATAAATAAATTATGTAGATTTTACTACATTCATAATCATCGACTACAAGTCATTAAATGCACCTCTTATGTTACTAGGTCCATCAAACCTTGTACTCAGACCCTATCGTGTGTGGATATACAATTTGTTAACGGTGCATAAATGGTCGTCTTAAATGACAATTGTGGAGGTTCATCGACATGTTTTATAACATTAAACATCTCCACAACAACCCCTCGACTATTGACAAACCACAAAACCAATGTCATTTTCTCTTTAAAAGACACGTTATTGGACTCGTGTATAAAAATTAAAAAGAACTCATCTCTAATATCTTTCATACTAACTTCAATAGTTTCCTTTGTTGTAACATATACAATGTCATTTTGAATAGAATTACATTTCATTTGTGAATTCTTTGACATCTTATTAAAAACGAGGTTATAATCCGTGGGTGCTACGGTTGACAAAGTAAAATAATTGAATAAAGAACAATTAAAATAGTTAGAGACAAATATTAATAAAATACAAAATGATATTTGTAGATATAATATTATTTAAAGACTAATGTGTAAACCGAATAAATTTATTACTCTTAAAATATATTATTCATATTTTGTTTCATTTGTAAATTCTTTTCACTTATGCGATTATTTTGAGATTTTTATTTTTTTTATTTTGTAAATTTTAACTGGTTATATTTAATGTACAAACTATTTGTTATAAATTCAAAAGAAAATTATGTAGCAAATTTTTCAAGTTGACACAATTTGTAAAAAAAAAATCATACTTTTTTGTAAATTAGTTTATCTCTTAGTTACCAAGGGATATAATTTGCGAAGAAGTTGAAAATTTATAAATAAATCCAAAACTAATTAGTAGATGGTTTCAGACATTAAAAAATGAATGTAACGCCCTTACTTAAGAAATTGATTCATTCACATAAAATATATGCTTTATTTACTTGTATCATTCACATAAAATATATGCTTTAT